GGGGGGCGGGGGGGGGGAGTTTGTTGAAGAATCTTTAAGAGTTTCAAAACTGGGACAGGAGGAAGACACTCTCCAAAAATTCAGAAAGAAAATTAAGTCTTGGAAAAATACTGTCAAGTCCAGAAATAGATGGCCCCTCTCCACACTTCAGAGCTTTTGGCACGTTGGTAGGCATCTTGGGCCTAGCTGGCACGGCCCCTGTGGGACGGAGTGACCCCTGCAGGCTGGCACGAAATCTGAAAGGGTCGGGGGCAGGAGCTGGGACCACCTGGGACGGGAAGCTGCAGATCCTGAAAGGCTCAGGGGAAGCAGAGACCTGAAGGCCATCCCCCAAAGATCACATCCTGAGCACCCGAGGCATGCTGGGAGGGGCACGTTCTCTAGACAGAGGGACCCACACCCGAGTCACACCCCAGCACCTGTCCCTCAGGCTGTGCTCACTGCCCAAGGAGCAGCTTCGGCACTTCCTAGGAGGGCCAGGAACGGGCAGGCACCCAGAGGCAGCACAGAGACCCAGACAGAGGAGATCCCAGAACCCAGTCCGGCCCCTGCCCATGCCCTTCAAGCTGACACCTTCGGCAGAGGACAAGGCCCCCCCTCCCCTGACAGGCACAGAGACCACCAGGCCCGTAGGAAGACTGATGAGATGAGAAGTAAGGGGCCCAGAGAAGACGTTTGTCCTTCCCCGGGGGCCACTGGCAGCCAACACGGGGCCAGGCCAGCTGTGGGTTACCTTGTCCCTCTCCTTCTGGATGCCGGTTTCCAAGGTCACCAACTTTTCCTGCAGCTGGTCCACGGCCTTCTGCTCCTTCTGCAGCAACGCCCGCTCTGCCTCCCTCTCCCCCTGCAGCAATGCTCGTTCCATTTCAGCCTGGGGCCAACACCAAGGTCCCCGTCAAGGCCAGTCAAGGCAGATGGACGCAGGCCCCTCCAGGGGCCTTGGCTCTGCCCGGGGAGGAACGTGGCCACAGCTGGCCTAGGCTACGGGCCCTCCCAGCTCACCTCGCGG